AGGCTGCCCCAAATTTAAAACTGAAACAACTGTGGGGGCCTGACTCAGAGACGGACACAATCAGAAGCCTGATGATGGCAGATAAGATTCTGCCGAAATGTTGCTACAACTTTAAAAGCACAACTACAATGACGTGGGAAAATACCCGAACAAAGCTGAATGCCATACATGTAAGTACCGCGAAAACTTAAGAAAACATATATGTATGTATGTATGTATGAATGTATGTATGTATCACATATGAGATTCAATCAGCAACAGAGCCACTTCAAGAACTCACTGGTCCCCTAAAAACCTCAGGCCTGATGACAAAGTTAGATTTTGAAGAACTTCTGGAAAATAAGGAGGAATAGAGGGGGAGAATATTCCATAAGATGGTACCATGATAAAAAAGGCCCATTTTCTCAGACTTGTTAAATGTAACTCCCTGAAAGACAGGACACACATCATGCCTTTCTTGCTGGATCTGATGGATGAACAGATGGAATTGTGGAGAGGCAGTATTTCAAACAACTTGGCCCCATGATAAGGGCCTTAAAAGTCAAAATCAGCACCTGAATTGGACCTAGAAGCAAACTGTAAGTATTTATATACATTTGATCAATAAATCCAATTTTGTTAATTTAAACTTACCTCTCAATACCCACAGTGCTCTATCAAGGTTCCCACATTTGAGAAAGATTTCTATAGCAACATTAATAACTTGACATCTTGATACCGATTGCTCTGATTTAAGAAGTCCTTTAAGAAGTGTGAAGTGTATCTTTAAAGCATGAAACACATCCAGAACCTTCTTGGCCTAATATAAAGATGGAGAAAGCAGGAATGAAAATGGCAAACAATTTCATGCTTTTTAACATTGGTTCACACTTAAGTTTGGTTAGCATCTTTATCTCAGAAACAATAATGCTCCTGGCATGTTAAAATAATAGTTTTGCAGTTATAAATGATTCAAATGCCAACTCAACACTACTGTTGGAAATTATTTTTGGTCTATAAATTTATTCAGGATAGCCCAGAATTGCACCAACATGTTTTGCTCTCCAAAGTGGAGACGTAGAAATAAAGATGCTATATCAGTGCTTCAGCAATGTTTAATAATTACTTGAAACTAACATGGATTTTAAAAAATGGATATTCGTTATTCAATAATAATTTAGCTAAGAAGGCTCTATCTTTTACGTGTTTTCAAGTTAGAAAAGGTAATCAGAATATAGCACGCCTTTTAAAAACCTACCTTCTAGAATCAATATAAAATTGAAACCAATTTTGAAGTTTGGAATATCTTCAATTAATACAATTGCAGTGCAGTGCATACAACACACAAAATCAAAGACAGCACAGCATACGTTTTTCTCACCTCATTTACCAAGAAATAGATCCTTGAAAGAAATTGTGCACTGTAACTATGGATATAGCAGGTCCATGAATCCCACTGAAACTAGGAATTATTTTAACTTTGGCAATATTGCTCCTTTAAACATTTTATTACATTATTCTAAGATTTGGACATTTATGACACTTTTATTTCAGAATAAAACAGAATTTTGAAATAGTATAAGTTCACAGTTTGAATTGTTAATTAAGCACAGACATTCATAAAATTTTCCATCTTTTAATATTATTAAGGATATTCAGAAGACTGCCAAGACTAGAATTCAGTTATATGGAAGCTGTTAATGTAAACTTTTAGGTATTTTTATAGGGGCAAAGTTGGGAAAACATATAATTGATTTAACAGAATAACAGAAATGGAAGGGACCTTGTAGATAATCTAGTCCAACCTCCGCCCAAACAGGAGACCCCTATACTGACAGATGGCAATCCAGTCTCTTCTTAAAAGCTTCCATTGATGAAGCTCCCACAACTTCTAAGGCGAGCTGTGCCAATGGTTGAATGTTCTGTCAGAATATTTCTCATTTCTAGGTTGAATCTCTCTTTAATCAGTTTCCATCCATTATTCCTTGTCTGGCCTTCAAGTGCTTTGGAAAATAGCTTGAACTGCTCCTCTCTGTGACAGCCCCATAAGTATTGGAACACTATCATGTCTCTCCTGGTCCTTCTATTCACTAGACTAGCCATCCAGAGTTCTCATAATGGTTCATATATTTTAGCCTCCGGTTCCCTAATCATCTTTGTTGCTCTTCTCTGCACTCTTTCTAGTCTCAACATCTTTTTTATAGTGTGGGGACCAAAACTGGATGCAGTATTGTAGGTGTGAACTTATTAAGGCTTTATAGAGTGGTATTAGTACCTCACATGATCTTTTTTCTGTTAATGCAATTTAGGATTGCACTCGCTTTTTTGGCTGCTATTGCACACAGTTGGCTCATATTTAATTGATTGTTCACCAAGACTCCAAGATCCCTCTCACAGTTACTGCTATTAAGCCTGGTTTCTCCCGACTATATGTGTACTTTTGACTTTTCTTGTCTTTACTTTTGACTTTACTTTTCTCTACATTGAATTGCCTTTTGTTAGTTGGAGCACAGTGTTCATGTCTGTCAAGATCCATCTAGATCTTGAGCCTATCATCTAGGGCAGAGGAGTCAAACTCACATCATCATGGCGTCACATGAAGTATTGGGAGTTTTTTCCTTTTCGCTAAACCGGGTGTGGGCATGGCCAGCCTGTGACATATCTGGCCTGCAAGCCAGGAGTTTGACAGTCCTGATCTAGGGTATTGGCTATTCCTTCCAGTTTAGTATCATCTGCAAATTTGGTAAGTTCCTCCAAATTTGATCTATTCCCTCATCTAAGTCATATATGAAGATATTTAAAGAGTACTGGGCCTAAGACGGAATCTTGTGGTGCCCCATTGCTTACTTTCCTCCATGTAGACTTAGTTCCATTAAGGACTACTCAATGAGTACGGTTTGTTTGTCAGTTTCAAGTCCATCTGATAATGATGCTATTTATCCCAAATTTTTCTAGCTTACCAAGAAGTAGGTTGTGGTCTATCTTGTTGAATGCCTTGATGAAGTCTAAGTGTAGTATGTCCACAGCATTTCACTGGTCAAAGAATGAAATAAGATTGGCTTGGCATGATCTGTTTTTAACAAACCTGTGCTGATATCTAGTTATTACTTTACTCCAGGGATGCCAAACTCAATTTCATTGAGGCCCGCATCAGGGTTATGTTTGGCCTGGGGGGGGGGCATGGCTGAGCTGGGCATGGCCAACTCAACATCACTCATGGCAGGGCATCTGTAGTGGCCCAGGTGTGGCTGGGGGATCCATTGTCTCCAGCAGAGGAAAGCAAGACCAGGGAGAGCGCCAAAACCTTGTCCTCCAGAGGAGCCTTGCTGTCTGCTGGTGACCAAGTGCTAAGGCAGGACTTGACTTCCTTCCTTCTTCTTCCTTCCCTCTTCATTCTCCTTTCTTCTTCCTTCCCCTATTTTCTTTTTTCCTTCCTTGCTCTCTTCCCATCATTTCTTCTTTTTCTTTGTCTTTCCTCTTTCCCTTTTCTGTCCCTTCTTGGATGCTCAAATCCAAGAAGGGGAAACATTTCTCCTTTTTCTTTGTTTTACTTTTAGCTTGTTTTGGTAGCCCTCTGCCAGGGGAAACAGCCGCCCTCACAAGCAGTCTCCATTTTTGCTGGCAGAGGGCTCCCAAGCTCTATTTTTGCTGGTAGAGGTACCATGAGCTAGTTCTTCATTGTTTCTAGGGCTGCCCTGCAGGCCAGATCTAAACACTCCATGGGGCAGATCTGACCCAGGGGCCTAGAGTTTGACACACCTGCTTTACTTGTTTGTAGATGTTCACAGATCTATTTTTTGATTATCTTTTCCAGTGTCTTCCCAAGTATTGATGTTAGGCAGATTAGTCTGTATAGTTTCCTGGGTGTATGTTTTTTCCCTTTTTTGAAGGTAGAAACTACATCAGCTCTTTTCCAGTCCTCTGGTAGTTCCCTGGTGCACCAGGATTTTTGAAAGATATGGTACAGTGGTTCTGAGATGACATCTGCCAGCTTCTTTACAACTCTAGGATGTAATCCATCAGGTCCCAGTTATATTCATCAAGATCAGACAGGTGTTTTACCATTTTTTTGGCTTATTTTATCTTTTGTTCCATCTTTGTTTCTTTTACAGTTATGTTTTTAGTAGATTGAGGTATAGTTTCTTTTGTGTGCTCTGCTTTATCTCCGCTGCCTGTTAATCCTTTGCAGTCTTCTCTATTTAGTGGATTATTTCCTTTATTTTTTTCCTTGTTATTTATATGTTGAAAGAAACTGGTTCTCTGCCCTAATGACTGGCTGGGTGGATGTGGCTGGGTCAGCATGTGACTGGGTGGGCATGGCCAACTCGACATCACTTCTTTGCCCTAATGACTGTTTTAAGTATAAAAAAAGATATACCAAAAGGTAGTTTATTATTTCATACATTCAATACTTAAATAAGAACAATAAAAACGTACACAAAGCTAGGTTTTGTTACAAGAAAGAGTTTTAAAGTGTTAATGAAAAACTATTAAATACTTGACAAAAAACAATAAAACTGTTAAGATATTTTCAAATTGCTGTTTATTAGTGTTCTCACTTGCATTTTCCTTCAGTTTTACTCTAGCATCATCAGCCATGTGACTCTTAACCATTTTTGACTGTAGGAATAGGGTCCCAATTCTTGTAGAGGTAGGCCAATTAGACTAATAGTCATTAAGTTTCGTTATATTGAAAACAGGCTACTTCTCTGAACATATGATGTTTGTTTGTGAAAAAACCCTTTCCGCTTCTGATGAACCTACAGCAATTGTTCTGACAACATTATTTAGCTTTTTTGAATACTGTCAGGAATTGCATATTTCTGGGAATTTTTCTAAATCTCGATAATTGTTAATATTAATTTGGTAATTTAAAATGTCACTGAATACAAGTCTAATGCTGGAAATGATTGAGAGAAAAAAAAGGGGACGGCAGAGAATGAGGTGTCTGGATGGAGTCACTGAAACAGTAAGCGTGATCTTAAATGGATTCCAGGGGATGGTAGAGGACAGGAAGTCCTGGAGGAACATTGTCCATGGGGTCACGATGGATTGAACACAAATTCGCGACTAGCAACAACAAATACAAGCAATTGTTCTTCATCTGCTTTCCATGGAACTACTTCTTCGATATTCCAGGAATCTGGCTCCCCAAAATTGAGAAATTTTAATTTATTCATGTCTTGAAATTGGCTACCTGTTTTTAAATATTCACAATCCATTATTAGTTTTTTATTCAAATTTGTTAAGATGCTTTCTAAAAGTCTTTCCTGAGGAAGTGCAACAAATCAATGATTTTCTACATTTTTTTTTATTTTTGAAGGTTTGAAGTAATTAATCCATTGACTTTTCTTTCATATGCACCCTTTTCCTTTCTAAGCATTTCAAATGCTTTAATTGACTTTATCGCAAGTTTTTCAGCCTTTATTTACATTTACATATTTATTTACATTTCTTGCTTGCAATGTATTTGAAAGAAGAGAATTTTCATTTTGAATATCAGTGCCAAATAAATCATAAAATATATATTTTATATTCTTTCTCTCTCTCTTTCTCCCTCTCTCCCTCCCACCCTCCCTCTCTTTCCTTCCCAAAGATTCATCTTACTATAAACCATTCTACTTCTGAAATGATAGAACAAGCCAAGTCAAACATCATGTGGAAAGCCCTGCTTGAGACATGCATCTTCAAAAAGCAAAACCAAAAGGACATTATCAGGCTAAACATTTTTTCTTTGAGTGATGAAAATTAAATTTCAGGGGGAAAAAACTGGCTTTCTTAAAACATTTCAGAGAGGGAGAAGCAGCTGGGTCAGGCCAGTGCCTCAGGAGTGTCTCCCCGACTGCCCAAGGCTTGTCCAGCACCAACAAGGGTAGGAAAAAGCGCTGAGACTGTAAGATGTTGCTTGATCTTGCGGCCCTTGTTGGTGCTGAGTGTGCCTTGGGTGCTCAGGGAGATACTCCATATGCTCTCCAGGTCAGAGGCTGCTTCTCCCCACTGCTGTTCTTGCTGGTGGCCTGCCATGAAAATGTCCTGCACAGCACAGTGAAATTTAGCAGTCGTGAGCCTCCACTTTGCTCTAAGTCCCACCTGGAAAGCGCTGCAGTGAAGAGAAGCACCTGGGTTGAATGCTCCTTTCTCTTCACTGCAGTGCTTTCCGGATGGGACTTACAGGATCCAAAGTGTGCAGCTCATGGCTGCTAAATTTCGCTGTGCTGTGTAATATGCTCTCCGGCAGTCCACCAGCACCAACAAGGGCCAGAAAAAGCACAGCGGCCACAAGATGTTGCTTGATCTTGTGGCCACTTCTTCTGGCCTTTCTTGGTGAGAGTGCCTCAGGCACTCGGGGAGATGCTCCATGTGCTCTCTGCCCAGAGACACTGCTGCTTCGCTCCTCCACAGGTCTTGCTGGTGTGGCTGAGAGTGTTTTCCACAGCACAGCAAGTTAGCAAAATTTAGCAGCCATGAACCACTGCTTTGAGTTCAGACCTGCAAGTCCCTTCCGGAAAGCACTGGGGTGGAGAGAAGCAGCACTCAATCCAGCTGTTCCTCTCCACCACAGCGCTTTCCCGATGTGACTTACAGGTTCAAACCCAAAGTGGTGGCTCACGGCTGCTAAATTTCACTGTGTAACACAAGACTCTCTCCCAGCAGGCCATCAGCGAGAGCAGTGGCATATGGAAGCAGCCAAGTTGGGCCAAAGACTCGGGACCAAGCTCACACAGTACCAAGGGCTGGAAGAACTGGCTGCAAGATCTGAGATGCTGGAGATTCCACCCGGCTGCTTCTCTCCACTGCAACATTTTCTGGATGGGGGTTCTTACCACTTCAGCCCACCTGCGCCACCCCCTTGTGGCTCTTTTGCTGAGCATGGCAGACTGTAGGCAAGATAAATTGCTTTGGCCTGGGGGGGGGCATAGTTTGAGGCCAGGGGTTCTAGGCAAGCATGGGCAGTGAGTGTAGATTTCCCAGAGGGAGTTCATGCATGGCCCCGGGGGGGCGGGGCGGCGGTGAGGTGTAAAGTACAACAGCAACTTAATTACCTAAAACTAGGGAGCAATGAAGGCTTGGGAGCAAGGATGTCAGAGAGCAGCTGGGCCACAGGCACCAAATGAGAGATATGTTTAAGGTATCTTATTTTTAAACTTTATTTTACACAAATATCTCAATCTCACTTGCACAAAGAAAAATTCCCCCCAACATATACTTGGAAGAAAATAGGAAGAGTAATCTATTTCTTGTTCCACTGATATCTTGGTTGATGGCTGTTCAGTAGGAAAACATGTATGGGCTTGCAAGGCATGTAGCAATATGTAAGATTTTTTATGTATGGCTCACACCTCAAATTAAAAAATTCACATAATAAGCATTATGATTTTGTAAGTTACCTTTGACCACTGGTGTACTCTGTAATATGAAAACATGACACTAATGCCAATCCGTCCTAATGAAGAAATGTCTCTTTCATCACGATGAGCACCAACATTAACTAAAAAATTAATAACAGTTATCTTAGATAATTAGCATTGTTTTTAAATGGTGCAAAAGAAATAAATTTTTTGAAACAAATATACATAAATATGATATGGAAAGCAGACAATGTACAAAGGTTGAGTTTCCTCAAGTAGGAAATTATTATTTGTTCCATTTTTTTTCTTGGAAAAGTATCAGAGTAGAATACATTGAGATCTCCCTTAATTTCATCCATGCAATCCTGTAAAATTGGCTGGTGTATCCAGAAATTAAAACTCATTCTTTTGATAAAGAGCTGAGTAAAACTGCATTCTGGAAGTTCTGTCAAACTAGCCATGGCTTTGAAGAAATAAAACCCTGAACATTTTGATTTTTCCATGTTCAACTAAAAAAATCATCTGCAGGAATTCTGAAATTAGTTAGTGGGTTAAGATGACAAGACAAATATACATTGCACCTCTCTTGTTTCCCCTACACACTGCCTGCTCCTTACCAAAGTTTTCCCTTTTCACCTTGCTCTCAACTCCTTCTGTCAATGGTGTATCTCATTGGTTTGCCTGCTCCTAATCTTCCTAGTGCCTTCTTTCCCCTCTCCTGCCTATCCAAACATATTGTCAGAGAAAGCCCTCAGCTTTGCATTTTTATTCCACTTTTCTCCCTAAACAGCCTGGAACATACAATATAGAGTTCAGACCTTCTCAAACGTGCATTTTCAGTTGAAGTGCAGACTATTTAATCCATGTACAGAATGTTTACGCATTCTAATTATCAGATGCATAAACATTTCTGTTCTGATCAGGCAAATTTTAAAAGCTTATAAAGTATCTTATTTATTTGCATATTGTTAATCTCCTGAAATGCCAGGTAATTCATAAAGATGCAATGCAACACATCCCATAGAATACAGAATATACATCGGACTCAGAAAGGTAATGGAAATCATACTGTTGCTCTAAATTTAGTTATCAAGAAGTATGGTAGTATAAACGGTGATGAGAAGAACCTGTTATCTTTACCACGACTTTCCTGATCCACAAAGAGTAGCAAATGGCATATTAATCTAATCTGTGTCTCCACCTGCTATTCTAGCAGGAGCCGTAAGTCCAGTGGAACTCCAGGTCATAGAACCATTCCTATAGGGAAAGTATGACTCCAACCCAGCCAATCATCAAAGACAAATAAAGTCAGTATGTTTCTGGACAAACAGTATCTGTTTTGCTAGAACTCAATCTAAGTTTATTTCAACCCATCCAACTTCTCATAACCTTCCACCACTGGATTAAGACTGCCACAGTTTATCTGTATGACTTCTCCTCATAGAGATATTAAATGGTGAGAAAACTCCTCCACATTAGAACAATCATGGGTTTGATGGTTCCTCCCCCACAATTAATAGGAATAGTGTACACAATGGTGGTGATCCATATCCAATCTGAAAAGACCCTCCATTGTAGCAACATTGAGCAGGAGATACAGCTGGAGGCTGTGACATTTGAAAGGGAGAAACAAGCTGAACCTAAGCAAGTCCAAGTTTTTGTTTGTCCAGAAACATCTTGTTCCTCTGCACTGAAAGGCACTTTAAACAGGATGTTTTCTCAGAAAAAAATATGTAGGGGATCTCTTATACTCACAACTACTAGAAGATAGACGCAGGGCAGACACAATTAGAGAAACCTTTATCTAACTTCCTGGAATAAGGCACCAGTAACTTATGACATCATTATCTTAAGGACAGGCTATTGTACTGTTTTATATGGGACTGCTCCTGAATATTACCTGGATATTGTGTTTCATTTAACACTAGTACACTGCAAGTATTTCATTAACTGTAGTTAATGGGGACTCAATGACTCAATAGAACTAAAATTGTAAGTATGGTAGAGGTCAACATAATTATCAATCTGATCTATTGGAAAATTCTGAATAAGGAGAAGCTCCACTGATAGTAAGGAAGGGATAGCATCACTTGCCACTAGTATTTGAATTACTCCATTCCCAGCAGCTTCCTTTGTAGAAGCTGCTTAGAGGTGCTTTGTGTGATCCTTAGGGCAGTCTCTATCTGCAGTTGCTGTTGCCTTTATATATAACTCATGAGAAAAATGGGAGAGAACATGGATCAGTGCTATTGAGTTAAAAAATGTAATCTCAATGGTCTGATAAATTCATTCATTCATTTATCTAGTGAAAAGAATTGAGATTATTGGACTTTTTTCCTTCATGAGAACTATCAACAGATAATGGAATTCTTATTTGCTACCAGACATTAGATAAGAATTGAACAAAAGGGCAGAGGCCTCCTTCATATATATTCACCAAAAATGTTCCTGCTTTTTAAAGTCAATGGAATGATGAGCAATGAAACAGAAGATACATTCATAATTTTCACTGCAGAGGAGATTAAGTTGAACTGATACTTTTGGGAACCCACATTCAACTTTAAAGAGAATCTGTTTTCCTTTGCATGTAACTTTGTAATATTTGACAATATTTGCTCATTTTACCTGCAGTCGCAAATTCACAAAATGGAATGCCTGGCTTTTCTTCCTTCACTGAACTGATTAGTATGCTGGCTACATGCCATGAATATTTTTCAAGATAATCAGCATTTTTACATCCTCTTGTCACTTTAACATACAAAGTTCCCAATTTAGCCCAGTCACTTTTTTCTTTACAAAGCTGTTCAAAAGTGAGAAAAGATGAATAGCATTACTAACAATAATTCACATTCATTATAAGCTTAATAAGTAGCTTTTTTGTTTTGAAATAGAACTAAATTATTTAAGTGGGCTTTGTCTCCTTAAAGAATTGCTTATCAATAGCTGTATTTGGTAAGTTCTACAAATTTTATATAATTTAAAGGTTTTTCCTTGTAATATATAACTGTGAAAATATTGAGAAAATGAAAAAATTACTTACCATTCATTCCAAAACCTTGATAAAGTATAGATGATTTGTTGTTATTTAACAATAACTATTCTTAAAATTGAACTACACTACTGAAAGGAGAATCTGTCTGAAGAAAAGCTTTTCATGTTTTTTCCCCATTAAATACCTGTATGTCCTACAGTTCTCTATACTGCTTCATGGTGGTAGTATGAGTAAAAAATGAGTAAAAAATGCTAATAGTGTATGCCAAGAATATAAATACTCCTATTAGAGAACAAAGTCATCCAGCTGATCAGCTGAAGCAAGCAGGCACCTATATTTGGCAATGATAAAGGAAGATGCTTGAAGCAGATTGGCATTTTAGTGGTAACGAGAAAGGTATCATTTTATATTGCAAAAGAAAAGATAATGGAAAATCAGTTATTCAAGTTTATACAAACACTGATGCAGAAGGTTGAGGAATTTTATGGTAAGGTTCAATTCATCAAAGTAATTGTTAAAAAAAAACGTGAAAAGAGATTCACAAAGACCTAAACAGCAAATTAGGTATCAGCTAGATGATGGAAATTGCCAATAGAAAACAAGCAAAGCCAAGAATGACACATTCTCAGGAAGAAATTTAATAAAGAATTATTAGAAGAAACAAGACTACCATGATATTTTTAAAGACATTAAACATGGAAGAACAAAGGATCCAGATATAGATTAACAGAGTTGGAAGGGACTTGTAGGTCATCTAATCCAGAGGTCCCCAACCAGCAGGCCGCGGACCGGTACCGGTCCGTGGAACATTTCCTACCGGGCCGCCGGTTTGCTGGGCGCCGCCATCTTGTTTGACGAGAAAGTGCTTCTGGGTGAGCTTTTCTGGTTGGAAAGCGGCGTTTGGGTCCTGAAGGAATCCTTGCGCCTTAGTTTCATCAAAGGGGGGGGGGCTTCGAACGAAACTAAGGCGCGAGGATTCTTTCAGCATCCAAGGCAAGGCAAGCCGAGCGACAGTCCTGAAGCGTCCCGAAGTGAAGCCCATCGACAAAGGTACAAAGGAGGAGTTGAAGGTGGCGGGGAGAAGCAGGGGACAGCTGGCTGGCCAGTTGCTTGGCTCGCCTTGCCTTGTCATGCGTGCTGATGCCGGTACCGGGCCGCGGATCATTTTGTGATGCCGGTACCGGGCCATGGCACAAAAAAGGTTGGGGGCCACTGATCTAATCCATACCCCTGCCCAAGCAGACTCTACATCATTTTTGATAGATGGCAGTCCAGTCTCTTCTTGAAAGCTTCCAATGGATACATAGTAATAGTTTCAAGAAAAAACAAAGTTGGAAAGAACAAGAGACATAACTGATGCATGAAAGAAAACTGAGAAACCTAAGAATGCAAAAAAGAAATCAGCCTGTATTTCATGGATAGAAAGTTCTTTGTATCAATCATATCAAATTATGGAGTGTGCTTAGGAAAACAGGAATCCCAGAGCATCTAATTGTCTGCATCTTTCAAGAAGACCATGGTTTTTATGCAGGACAATGCTCCATTGCATGCATCGGAATATTCCACAGTGTAGTTAGATAGTAAAAGCCTTAAAGATGAAACAATAATGACATGGCCCTCACCTGACCTAAACCGAATTGAGAACTTGTAGGCCCTTCTTAAACAGAAGATTTACAGTGAAGGAAAACAGTACACCACTCTGAACAATGTCTGGGAGCCTGTGGTTGCTGCTGCATAAAAAGTTGATTGTCAACAGATCAAGAAACTGACAGATTCCATGAATGCTTATGACTGTTACTAAAAAGAAATATTGATCAAATATTGGCTATATTGATCATTGATTTTTTTTGAAATGTCAGAATAATTGTACACACATAGCCAAAACCTCACATTTACTTTCTTAAATATTCAGATTTGAGGTTTATTAACATTTTGGATTGACAGAGAGCACTGTAGTTATTCAAAAATAAAATTAATCCTCCAAAATACAACTTGCCTAATAATTGTGTACGGTGTATTAACAACCCATGCCTGAAGTTTGGTTTGCTGCAGCATCCCCATAATCATGATAAAAATGTTGATGTGGGGATATCAGCTGTGTGCACTTTTTGGGAAACATCTGGAAGCCTTCCCTGTCTTCGGAAGCCTCTGGAAGCTCACCCAAACAGACTTTCCATAGGCTTCCAGGTCTAATGGGAATGGAGCCTGTTCATATGGGGATAATGAAGCAAAAGGAAACCAAAAACAAACCGCATTGATGAGAGTTCCAAGGCAAACCAAGATAATTAATCACACATTCCAGGAAGATAACCGGGGACAGTCTATGGGAAGAACACCAACTAAGATAAACCTCATCCAAGGAAAGCACTACTTTGACTCCAGCGTCTGTGAATCGCAGTTCCAAACTTATACAGAGCTCACAGCTGCAACCCATGAGGAGGATCATGGTCCTCTCCTCCCAAGTAGACCACGCTTTTCCCTGATCCTCTCCTCCCTGCGTGCCCTAGGATGAATAGGGGATGGGCCTGGATCCTCCTCTGATTGCTCAGCCGGCCTCTGCCCTTCCCCAGCCTCCTCCACCACCCCTGGAACCACACTTCTACTCCCTGTTGGCTGTTCCTCCTCTTCCTCAGAGTCAGTCTCCACCAGGAGCATGACACAACCTATACCAGGTGAAATAGCTGGGTGGCATCTGGCAGCAGTGACACAAACAGTGTTTTAGAGGCCTAAATAATTGCAGATTGCTTAGACTGCTGAAGATAATGGGGATGAGGGTGGGCACACTTTGAAGTTGTGAGAGAAGGGCACAGATAAACACTCCAATTTTTGCCATTTGTGATCACAGGGGCACTGCAACAGACCTAACTTCAGGCATGGTTGTAACTTCCTTTGTTCAGCACTGCACTGCATCTACCCAGCATATGTGGCCTGTTTTGGGCCTCCCCTTCCTGAGGCATCCTCCACACTGCTTAAGGTTACTTAATAATTGCAACAGGGAAAGTTGGGGTCATTGAGTAAAACAGTAACATGGGCATCTCAACTTAACAAACATAAAATTCTGGGCTCAATTGTGGTCGTAAACTGACATAACATAAAAGACAGGTATGGATAAAGAGAATAGTTCATGAAAATGAAAACTAGTCTATGTGATTAACTATTTTTTAAAAATGAAGTTTATTTTCCATATTTATTATTTTCACAATTTTTAAATTATTTCATTTTCAATTTACAATAAATAACAAACTAATAAAAACTGAGACAGCAATAATTTACTCTGTGAATCGTAAAGTTTTACATAATAATTAATCATTAATGCTGTCCCAAAATAAATATATAGATGGTACCTTAAATTCTGCTATTGTTGAATCAGAATCACAAAAGATGGCCTTGTGAAAATGTATTTCCTGAAATCTTTAAGAACAAACTTTTATATAGTAAGCTGCAATTAAAAAATCTTTTGATCAGTGTTTAGCATAAAAGGCAATAGGTCAAACTCTAAATCACTGCATAAGTGCAGCTTTTTCATACCAAAAATCTTATTTTATCTTTGGTGAGTATTCTAAGGAGCCACATTCAAAAATGGAGGCAGAATTCAATAAAAATAAAACTCAACTGTTGAAATTAATTCAGATTATAATTACATGATTGTATTTATATTTTTAATAGTTTTTCCATTCTACACATTAACACACAATTTCCCATAAACTTTTAGAAGTCTATGGAGCTGTATCCAAATAACCATTGTAGTTTAGGAAGCTCAAACTGTTTATCTCTGTCAAATCATTAACTGTTCCTCTATTTTATTAGGATTCAACAACACATACTTTGCAAAATATACTTTTAATGTGATTACTCTAACACATGTGAGCATCGGAATGCATACACAGAAAACTGTATCTAGTAGTACTACAGAAGATTTCAAGATGGACTTTTTTACCCAGAATACTTTAAAGATGGGAGATGAAGATGAGGGATGGCTATGATCTTTGAAATTATTTCAAAAGCATTTCCTTATCACTGCTATTTATCAGCCATTGCCTTTAATTTTGTCTTGGTACCTGTATTTGTCCATTACTGGCATCTATATTAAGCTATCATTAATATACTGGCATCTATATTAAGCTATCATTAATTTTGGGTTTCAAAGAGTGAACAGCCTTATTTATTTTTGTCATATATGTAACTCAGGAATAATGCTGCATTTGGTGGTTGTGTGGTTATGATGCAGAATTCTGAAGTAAGGGGCTAGGATCACTCCCAGGAATTTGAAGGTTAGGGATAGCAGCTGTTGTGGATTGTGAATAATGTAGAGAATATATAAAGAACTTGAGAAGTGCTCTGCTGGATGACTTTTGTCAGGACTTGGATGGTGGGATGTAGTCCTCTTCATCAACCTCTCAATAGCACTCAGTGCCACCAATCATATCTTTCTGGATCACTTGTGATGATTATCTTCCGAACTGTCTTCTTTAATTAGAACTAGTTTATTTTGTACACTTATTTGGTAAAGGAATTTTAATAATTTGTCTATTCAAGAGATTGATGGGAAAAGGTTTAAAGGCAATGTTTTATCTGCTGCCCTCTCTTTTGAACATACGGATTTAGCCCTTGGGATGTACTTGGTTCCTTCTTGCTAGCAAGATTAGTGCCAGTGGTATTTTTAAAATTTAAACTGCTTGTTTATTACTTGTTATGTTTTTATTTAATCTGTGAAATAGTGGGGGTCATTTTAGAGTCCATCAGCACAGAAAACTTGTGAATAAATATTTAAGGCATGATCAAATACAACTAGTCCTCAATTTACAACAGTTCATTTAGTGATCATTCAAAGTTACTATAGCACTGAAAAAGTGAGTTATGACCAATTTTCACATTTATGACCATTGCAGTATCCCATGGTCAAAATTCAGATGCTTGGCAATTGATATGGTTGCAGTGTCCCAGGGTCATGCGATCACCTTTCATGACTTTCTGACAAGCTAAGGCAATGGGAAAGCCAGATTAACTTAACAACCATATTACTAATTTAACAATTACAGTGATTCACTTAACAACTGTGGCAAGAAACATAAAATGGGCCAAAGCTAAATTAATAAATGTCTTGCTTAGCGACCAAAAATTTGGGGTCAATTGTAGTTGAAAGACAAGAACTACCTGTATATTCAACTTCTAGTATCATATTACAAAGATCATGAATACAAAACTGTATACAGTAATTTGGTAGTTAAAGATATTTCCCTCATATATCTTTTGAGCAATTCAGTACATAAATTGAGGAATAGGTATGAACGACATTAAAAACATAATAAGATCATAATTACTTATGAATAAATATAGCTGGCATAGATTGATATTTTACAGCTTTATGGAGATTTACAATTCAAAATATTATCCATTTGAAGCTTTAAATTAAAGAATATTAAAAAGTACATACCTGGACATAAGCATAGTAATTTCCTGAGTGGAAACATGTAACTGGTTTAGTAAGTTGGTGATATGTCTAATATGTTCACTTTCAAGAACCATTCCAGCATCAATAAGCTATAGTAACAAAAAATACATTGATACAAGAACTTTTTCAAAATTTCCACAATTAAGTGCTTGCAAAATTCTTTACAAATATAAGGAAAAAATAGATAATATATGTCAATGGCTCCATATACGCTATGTGTTTATATTTAGGGATGTCAAACTAACAGTTGGTGACAACATTATCATAGTTCCAAATACTCAACCCAGATACTGCTAAATTAACCAGGGGCTGCAATATAATACTATATTGACAAGATGGTCATAATATAGCTTAATATGAAACAATCATATCATCGAATAGATTCAAAGCAGGTTTTTATATCCAAACAAACTATAATATTATTTAATGACATACACTTTTAGATTTTCATTTAAAAGTGTTGAAAAATAATAACAATTGTTTTCTTTCTAATATTATATAGTCTCAATCTCTACCAAAGTCTACAATTAGTGGTAAATGCCAAAATTTAAGTGGACAACTCTAATTGAAATAATTGCTGCCAAATCTTCCTTGCATTTTCCATTTTAGCAAAATCAAACAATTATATTTTTATTTATTATTCACTCAAATTTATTAGTTGCCCAACTCCAATGGATTCTACAGTATTTCTATTGCATTTCAAAAAATTTGCTCCTTTCTCATATTTTTGAGCTATACTCAACAAAGTACTTTTCAACATGGTCATTTTCATTGAACCTTCTCCATCTTTTGGAATTTATTTTGTTTCGGTTGCATTTTAGAAAATGCCAATAAACCATTTTAAAAATATATATCAATCTAAAAACATGACTCTGTTCTTGTTCTTTGGTATACCATATAAATAAAAAAGTGTTATTTGTGAGATTATATCCAATATACCATTTTCTCAGAGACACTATAGAAATATTGAAAATAGAGTCTCTAGAAATGAAGTTGCTAAGAAGAAATTAATTAATCCAAATCATACCTTACAAAAGATGTCAAATAATTCAGGTACTGCCTCTTTTACTTTCATCAAAGCCACTTCTTCAAACATTTTGACCAGAATATCTATACTTGGCTTAACAAAAAACCAAAACACCTCAATATATAAAATATTAAATTTACAAAAAGATAAGCAAATGTAAATACCATCCCTTTAAAGATTTTCATGTCTACAAGTTCAAGAAGATTTTTTTAATGAGCCTGATATAATAGATGAAATGGCTTGAATTCAAATTCTGTGCAATTATCACAAACAGAATTTAAAGATCAGACAATATGATCCTGTGGAAACTAACCATATCTATCATTTCCAAATTGTTTTCAGATCCATTTGGCATGATATCATAAGAAACTCATTGTACTACCATGGCAATTCTAAACTAGATCAACAGCTAAAGAGCAATCCAAAATCCAAACAGCATGTAAATATAAAGCTAATACAATAAATTAAAAATATGAATAATCATTATCTAATCAGAATATTTTTACATTAATATCTTACTCCACTTATCTGAGAGTAGGTTCAATTAAATTCATTGCAATATATAGAATGTTATTAAATACACTGAAGGATCACTTACTAATATTTTAATCCTGATGCCAATTTGCACTACATGAAAAAATTCTTTCAGCAAACAGAACTGAAGCAAAGATGTTAGGAGATTGTGAAACATTTGTGAATCCAAGTGATATACAGCAGTACCTTTTTTGCAGTAATCTGAGAATATATGTACTAAAGAAAACAAAAAATTTAAAGGTGAACGCAAGCATTATTTAAGTAATTTATTGCTAAAATTAGAGATAATCCTCAATTTTGTTTGTTTCATAATGGTTCAAAGTTACAATAACCCCAGAAAGGATGCTTTATGACCTATAATCAGACTGATGACCATTGCAAACCACTGCATCCCAGAAGTCAAGTAATCTCATGGTCACATTTACATGGTTGCAGCATCCTAAGGTAACATGATCAAATTTGTTACCTTTTTTGCCAATTTCCATTATTAAACAAAGTCACTCACTTTACAATCATCATTAAGATGATAATAAAATTGAATCTAGTAACACAGTAACTTAACTTATGACTGCAATGGCTTAGGATGGAAATTCTGGTCCTTAGTGTGGTTGTAAGTCAACATTACCCATATTGATTTTGAGGAAGTAAAATGCATAAAAAGAATACAATGGAAAGTTTTACTGCAGAAAAGGATTTGTCTAGAGTATCATTTTTCATACACTTTTTGTAATCTTATTTCTTATAAATCAATATTATTCCATGAAATATTAGTTAACAATGAATCATATTTAATTTATACTTTTTATTTATATAAATTTTATAACCCAAAATGTTTTTTGTTATGCATCTAAAAACATTTACTTTCTTAACTAGAACAGCTAAAACTTTGAGTATTTCATATTCCTGGCTATTTTAATATTCACTGTTTTGTCTCTTCATCTTAAGTTTGAAATGGGATGAAAGAATAGTTAATAAACCATAAACTTGAGAATTAAATGTCTAGTGTTTTAAGAATACAGTGACCTTGCCTATAGAACTTTATCTTGAAGAATGACTTTTGACTTTTTCTTTTAACTATGAACAGTCATTAATTCCATATATATTCCCTAGCAATGTTTGTTTTCGGGATTAAAATCTATGTATTGTTTTATGTATTCATGATTGATAAAGTTTTTAATACCAGAAACTCATGCCATAACACATTTTTTTCCAGCTGGAATTCTAATTCTGATTGTCTTTGGATAGCTGCTTGAAGATTTTTATATGTTTGGAATCCACATACCAATCTACCAATTCTGATGACTAGGAATTTGGCAACCTATTAATTCCTAATTTCCTATTATTTGTGAACTATTATACTGTGCTAGGATAAAGATTTAAAGACAATACACTGGCTTCAGCTTTATGGATCTGAAATCCATAGCTTCTAAACTAAATCAAATGACTGAGTTAAGTGGTTCTTTTCTAAGCTCAACTAGATTATTGTAATGTCAACTTTCTACTCAGTGTTAAGTATAGTGAAATATCAGGATAATTCTTGAGCTATTAATATATAGTATATTCTGAAAATCAACAATGTCAATCTCAACGTATTGAATATGTAGTAATGTTGAATTTATATTACCTGCCCGTTGCAGCAAAGCTACACCACCAATACTTATGTATTTCTTAATTATTTCACTGCAAAGCTAGTAAATAAAATAAAACCACAAAGTTAATATTTTTTGCTAAATAAAAAAGGTAAAAAAAACCAATGCAAATTTATGTATTTACCTTATAGTCCAAATAGTACCAAAACTATTTTTCGACTTGTCAAAAAAACCCCACAAAATAGTTTTCTTCTATTATTATACATTTATTGTAAACTAATTATTTTTAGAGACTACAATTCAAAGCATGTTTATATGGATATGTTCTAGTGATGTTTATAGAACATTGCTCCCTCTCAATGGTGTCATGTAACTTAGAAAGCGCTGTGCTTACATTTATATTCCACCTGATGCAAATGTAAGCACAGCACTTTCTAAGTTACATGATGCTATGAGGCAGCAGCACTTACCCTGAAGGTGCTTTTTTCATGTCTGGGGATTTTAATCAAGCCTGTCATAAGGCTGTCCTCCCTAAGTTTGTGCAGTATGTACATAGTGTACCACCAGAGGTAAGACGTTCTAGACTATGTGTATTCAAAGACAGGTGTATAAAGCATTCCCCCTCTCCCATCTGGGCATGTCTGACCATCTTTCTCTGCTATTTTGCCCAAAGTATATCCCCCTTAGGAAAAGGATATGATCAGTCAGGAAAACTGTTAAAATCTGGGCAGAGGGAGCACTCAGCCAGCTGTAGGACAACTTCGAGATACCGAGTGGAGCATATTTGAACATTTGGAGCTGCAAGAATACACTGATGTTGTACTCTCATATACTGCAACATACACAGATAATGTGAACAAACGAATCAGAGTTTACAGTAACTATAAACCCTGGATGTTAACGGGTATAATCACTGAGAGCCTGAAACTCCACCTTCAAGGCAAGAAATAAAGACGAATAAAGGCCATGGCAAATTTGAGAAGCATCAAGGCAGCTAAACGAAATATAAACAAAAGGTAGAGAAGTATCTGGCAGATGATAATTCAAGACAGGTGTGGTGGGGGCTACATCATCTAACAATTACAAGGGCAATAGGATGAAAACAGCCAATGCTGATGCCCTGCTGGTGGAGGAGCTGAATAGTTTCTTCACCTGCTTTAAGGTTAATAGACCTGTCTCTGTGGCTCTAGCCCAATGGCCTGCTAACCTCCAGTCACTCACCTTGCATGAACATCAAGTGAGAGCTGTGCTGAAAGCCGTAAATTCTAACAAAGCTGCAGGTCCAGATGGAGTGCTGGGTATAGTAGTAAAAACCTGTGCTGACCAATTAACAGAGGTCCTAACAAGGATCTTTAACATCTCCCTACAATTGGCTAGAGTTCCATCATGCTTGAAAGCAGCCACAATCATCCTGGTTCCGAAGAAAGCAGCTATAAACAGCCTGAATGATATAGGATAGATCCATTGCACTGACATCTAGTGATGGAGTGCTTTGAGAGACTGGTCTTACACCTCAGGTCCTGTCTTCCATCAAATTTCTATCAACATCAGTTTGCTTATAGGAGCAAAAGGGCGACAGAGGATGCCATCGCCACTGCTCTACATACTGCATTGAAGACACCTTGAAAAATCTGGGAATTATGTTAGAATGCTTTTTATAGACTATAGTTTGGCCTTTAATACCATCTTACCAGGCATCCTCATTGAAAAGCTGACTGAATTTCCCTCCCCTCACTTGTGACTGGGTTAAAGACTTCCTGATGGACCATCCATAAATAGTAAGGGGCCACCCCTCAGGGCTGTGTGTTCAACCCCTACCTGTACTCACTGTATACGCGTGATTGCATATCCTCTGATCCATCCAACATCATAATAAAGTTCGCAGATGATACAATGATGCTGGGTCTTATAACTGGAGGGGACAAATCAGCATACAGGGAAGAAGTCCGGAAGCTATTCACATGGTGTTTAAAAACCAATTTACATTTAAACTCTAGCAAGAGAAAGGAGATGATGCTAGATTTCCAGAAGCACAGAGAACTTGCCCAATTGTATATCAAGGGGGGCTATGTGGAGAGGGTTTCCTCTTTTAAATTCTTGGGAGTGCTTATTAATCAAGACCTCATCTGGAAATACGACATGTCCCTGGTGGTTAAGAAGGCTCAACAGAGACTTCATTTTTTTAAAGTCCTGCAGAAAAATCAGGTGGAATAAGGGCTGCTGACCTCTTTCTATCAGTCCACGATAGAAAATATCCTTATATGCTGGATAACAGTATGGTATGATGGTTCAACATCTGTGGACGGGAAGGCACTACAGAGAGTGATACATTCAACAAAAGAAACCATTGGTTGTCCCCTAACGCCAGTGGATGACATCACCAGGTTTGGTTGTTTCAGCAGAGTAAGGAAGATACTTAGGGATGATTCTGGTCAGTGTCTTTTCTCACTTTCACCATCGGATGGAAGATACATAAGTATAACCAGCCAAACAGGTTTAAAAACAGCTTTTATCCATGGGCTGTCAGATCTGTAAATACAATCACTCCATGCATACATGGAAACATAGGACTGGTTTCCCCCTAATTACTTGCATAAGGACTATTTTCTATATTATTTATGTTGTATTACATTTTGTTATGGATAGCACTTGCAGGAGCAAAATCAATTTTGTTGTATATATGTACAATGACAATAAAGATTATTATTATTATTACTACTATTACTATCTTTTATTCATTAAACATGAAACTCAACATTTAAAAATGTATCACAAATACCAGTGATTGGTGCTAATAGTTGATATGGGTTGCTGCCAGAGTTCTAGGTATCAACCAAGTATCTTCTTAAAATATACGATGTTCCGAGTAGTGCAGTTTTTTTGAAGTTCTGCTGATGTTATTGCAGGCAGCTGCAATTTCTTGATATATTTTATAAAACTCTTGGACATGGTACCAAGTGCCCCAATAATGGGTATCACTGTTACATGTTTCATCCATAACCATGTAGTTTTGATGGCCAGATCGTGATATTTTGTGATTTTTTTTGCAGTTCTTTTTCTTTGACTCGGGCATTTCCTGGTACAGAGATATCAATAAATTGCATGCTTTGGCCCTCAACAACTGTAATATCTGGCATGCTGTGTTCCAAATGGCTATCAGTCTGTATTCGAAAGTCCCACAAAATCTTCACCTTCTCATTTTCGATAATCTTTTCCACTTTATGTTCCCATGACTTTTCAGATACAGGTAAGTTGTATTTTTTAATATAATGACCAATGGATTAATTTAGCAACTCGGTCATGTCTAGCTTTGTAATCAGTTTGTGCAATTTTTCTGGAAATCCGGGAAAGAGGATTGAGGACCCTGGGTGCTGGACAAAGAATTCTGGGAGTTGAAGTGCAGACATCTTTGCTAAGGTTGAGCAACCTGCCCTGGGAGGCCCTTCCCTGGACAGCCGGACAGATGACCTCTACTGAAGGGTCACCAAGGAGGGGGAGGCCCAAAGCCCAGGCCAACTTTTCCCCAATTGCATGGGGGCAGGAGGGGGATATTGAACACTTAGAGGGTCACCAGGGAATCAGGGAGTTTCCCCTCTTTTTTAGTTTATAAAAAGGATTTCCTTTTCTTCTCCATTGGCAGAGGATACACACCAGGTACACATTTTTAATTCTAACCCTAGAAGCGGACCAGGTAGAGCTGAGGCAGACAGTGTCAGCCTTCAAGATCTTCTACTACTGCTTTGCATCTTTTGGCTGCCATAAGTAACGGGGGGAGGAGGGGGGATAACGTCTGGGAAGAGAGCTGGAGGTGTTACATTCTTGTGTTGTGTAAATGAGGAGAGGGGGGAGTATAAATTTCTGCTTAAATTTCTATTTCTCGCTTAGCTTTCTTTTCTCTGCGCAGCTGCAAACTTTATCAAAATATGCCAAGGTCAACGGACAGAGGCCTCATCACCACCTGAAGATCCACATGATCATATTCAGAACTTTTAATTGGAAGAATCTTTTGAACTATGGGGGTTGGGAACATTTCCATCACTTTGTATACGTGATCTGCACGCCTTATTTCTCAGATTCAGAATCCTACTGATGCTACCACTTCGTTTTCAGTAAAAGGTATCTTTTCTCTAATCTATGGAGTCTAAGTATTTCTTTCTTGAATTTTGAATGGAGCACCAGCTGACATTATTCTGAATCTCATCACCAACCCACCCGGAGAAAATATCCAGTTTCTTCCGAGGGGGTCTGATCATCATGTCATCTCCAGCTAGTGACCAGGAGGATCTGAGCGCTATGGGAGGGCAATCTTTGCTGATACCGGAGGTGCCAGCAGCTGAATTGCTAGCAGAGCTCACCCTGGAAGAGGCTCCAGCTGTGAAGCCCAGATGGTCATTGGGGGTTGGCTGGAAGGATCCCAAAGAGCCCCCACCCCTCCTGGAATCACCACTACCTGACGGCGTGGGAGAGAGGAGCCATGGCAAGAGAGGGAAAGGAGAGAATTTTTACTGGACCAAGCCAGGCATCTCCTCAATGAGGCATTTGGACAACCCCACGCTGCACCAAGGTATGAAGGGGAAGGGGGAGCAGCCTCAGCCAGAGGCAGCCAAGCTGCCCCCACCCCCATAATTCAGCCTGAGCCAGCGCAGCAGCCAGCTACAGCCCCAGGGCCCACAGTGGGAGGTGTGATCCCTAGAAGGCGCAGAGCTCTCAAGCTGCCTCCATTAGAAGTGAAATTTGGGGGGAAATCCCAAAGACTTGGGCTTCTTCCTAGCACAAGTTTGGAGCTATATGGAAGAATATGGGGAGGAGTTCACCTCAGAAGCAGCCAAAGTGAGATGTGTTACCAGGGCCCTGGAGGGAATAGCTGTAGAGTGGATGGTGACTTTGTATAATGATAACTCTCCCCAACTGCTTAACTATAACGTATTCATGACCGCGCCGCGGGCAAGATTTGAGGACCCACTGGTGGAGCGAAAGGCCAGGATCAGGATGAAAACCATAAATCAAGGAAGGAGGTCAGTGGCCGACTACACCCAAGAGTTTAGATAGCCGGCGTGCCATATCCAAGGCAGGTCCCAGGGAGCCCTGATAGAAGCATA